AGGGACCGCGTACGGAGAATACCCATTAGATTCGCAAACTCGAGTAGACACAAAACAGTGCGAAGAGCCGGAGTCGATGAGCGCCCGTAAGCGGGAGTTGAATCCCGCGGCAACTCGTTGTACAAAAGACGGACGCAGGGTTAGGCCCGCGTCCGGAGTAGGAAAACCAGACAGAATGCCGGAAGGCGAGATAAAGTCCGCGGAGAGTAAAGATATATCAAGATCGACGTAAAAGGCATTAGGAGAGAGAGTGGACGCGTTGAGAGTAACCTCCGGAAGCACCGCGGAGTCAACACGGCTCGGACCAGGTGCGGAGGGTTCCGAGCCGCTGTCTAATTTTTTGACTCGGGGGTAGAAGAGGCATCAGCGGCAGGCGCAGGCGGATTAGAAACATTTCCAGCCTTGCCTTGAGCATTGCCCGGACGCTTCCGGCAGTCGGCCGTCTTGTGGCCTTGACCACCGCAGAACATGCAGAGGTTGTTCTTTATGCGCCGCTCGCGCTCCTCGGGTTTGAGTTTACCGGAGGAGTCGAGCTTGGCCGCGTACGGTTTTGGAGTCTTTGATGACCCGGAGGCCTGACCCGCGTTGCCGGACGTAGCCGGAGGAGTAGTCGACGGAGGATTGGTCTTAGCCGGAGGATTTGAATTACCTCGGCCCTTGCCCTTTCCTTTGGATTTCCCACCACGACCACCACCACCTTGACCTCCGGCCGGAGGAGAGCCGGAGGCGTCTCCGGACGACTTGCCGGAGGGTGGCGGATTGTTGGAAGCGCGCTCCGCAGCTTTCTCGGCCTGTCGACGATGGTAGCGCTGGTCGATCTGCGAGGCGTAAGCCTTGAGTCCGACAAGAGAAGCCGGAATCTGGTTTTGCGCGATGGTGTCCTTGATGCGACTGGGGAGGCCCCTGTAGTATGCCCGGAAGAGGGCGGCCTCGTTGTATCCCGTCATAACCGCGTGAGTGTCGAACTCGAGCTGGTAAGTAGCCAGCCGGTCACCCGGCTTCATGGAAAGCGTCTCCAAAGAGATCCGGGCGTCCCCGAAGGGGTCGTGCGGACCGAAGTTAGTCGCGAGCTCCTGTACAAATAGTCCCAGTTTGCATCCCAATGCGGAATGGGCGCGGTACCGCTCGCATAGATGTTGGGCATAAACCACTGCTGAGTGGTGCCCCGAAGATACGACCGGACGTAGAAGATCTTATCTTCGTCGCCCGGGAAGTCTTGTGGGCGTTCCGCGATGTGCAGATAAATCTGCGACATGAAAGTGGCGAATTTCGTCGGGTCCGAACCATCGAATGTGTCCGGAGCCTTGGAAGCGGTACGAGTGGAGCGAGGAGGAGCGACAGAGTTCTGTGCGAGGAGAGCCATAGCCTGTGCCATTTGTTGCACGGCGAAATCGAGCTGCGGGTTGTTCGGAGCGGGAATGTGAATTGTCGGACCCGGAGGTCCGGGGGGACCGGGAGGACCTGGAGGACCTGGAGGCAGCGCCGGACCAAATGGTCCGCCACCACCACCACCGCCACCTCCACCGCCACCAGGTCCTGGATTAGGCGCGGGCGCGCCGGAACCCGATGGTTGAACCGGAGGGTTTGGAATCGGGGGAGGATTTCCGCCCGGGGGCGGACCTCCACTTCCTCCACCTCCGCCGCCTCCACCGCTACCGCCGCCAGGAGAGCCAGAAGGTCCAGGAGGACCGGAAGGGCCCGCAGGCGGGGGCGGAGTAGAGCCGGAAGGAAGATTGGTGGGTGGTTGGGCAGTAGGGTCAGGAGTTTGTCCTCCACTGGCTTTACCTTTACCCTTGTCGACCGGAGCCGGAGTAGCCGGCGGAGCAGTATGCGGTCGCGAGCCGATTGTAGTAGGCGATGGCGGGACAAACATTGTTTGCCCGGAATAGATCGGAGGAATCGGAGCGATCGGTTCGGTCGTCTCCAATGGGTCGACCTCTTCCGGTACCTCCACAATGGTAGTAGTGTGGACCGGATGATGAAACATACGACGATCTGGGGTAGGAGAAGATATGCCAGTACCGGAGCCACGTTCATACTCATTGAAATCCATCACCTCGGGGTAAACCGATCCGGGGTATTGTGAACCGACCGGAGATTGGCTGAACTGCCGGAAAGCAGCTCCACGGTTTTCTGGGTCGAGAAGCGGTCTTGACCACATGGCCGGAGCATGCGGCCGCAGGGCACGCGCATCCAGTTGAAAATGCGGTTGGGACCGTTGAACCCGAGGGTCAATAGGTGGTGAGAGCATGGGTGGCTGAAAACCAGAGGTAGATTCTACGGGCTGTTGGCCCGGAGCCTGAATCGGAATGATGGCGCTGAACTGGCGCGATCGACGACGATCTTGGCCTACATCAGGAGTGGGAACGAGGTGAGCGTAAGACATGGGAAGAAGCCAAATTAATTTGAGTTGATAATACTGTTATATCCGTGTCCGGAAAGAAAGGAAACGACCGGAAGGACGGATGGCCGGACGAAGTGTCGGGGAGCCGGACGAAGGTCCGGATGTAAAGCGATACCACAAGAGTATAAGGGTACACCAATTAACTTGGCTCCGAAGGTCGGATAGCGAATAGGACAGAGGTCGGACGACGGAGCAATGCGGAGGCAAAGCACGTTAATTATCAACTAAAGTTACATCCAAGTAAGTACGTATTTATACTAAGTACGGAGATAGTCCGGATGCGTTCGGAGAAGAAGTAAAGACAATAAGAATAAGCGAAGACAATAAAGACAATAAGGAATACATGTGGAGCATAAGTCATATGGTCGAAGAAGGGGAAACGCTCAGTAAATCTTCATTGCGTAAAAACCCCGAGGGCGTGCGTCAACAACCAAGGTCGGACGCAACAGCGAGTGAGACGGACGCGAGCCGGAGTTCGGATGACGTGTCCGGAAGGGAGGAGAGTCGGATCCGAAGATCCGGACGGAGGACGGAGGAAGTCCGGACGGAGCCGGATGGTGTAGGAGTTGCATGGTCGTAACAGGGTCTTCTTCGGCGGGCGGTCGTTGCTGTCGCTGTTAGCGTTGCGTTTACCCGCTGCGGCGACGTCGGCAGCCTTGCGTTGTTCGTCCGCGATGGTGCGCAGGCGAGCGTTAGCACGGCTACGTTTGATATCGACGCGTTCGACCTCGACGAGCCAGAGAGGGAAACTCTTCTCCTTCTTGGCGTCGGGGTCATCTTCGTAGTCCTCCTGAAGGTCGGGGAGCATGCCCGCCTCGAGCAGGGTGCGGATACGGTCGTGTCAACGTGCGAGGTAGTGTTAATCAGAAGGGAGTTGGTCGAGCGGACGGCCGTAGCGAACTCGGAGAAGGGCTCCGTCTTCCCCTGCTTCCGTTGGTTCATGGTGACGCGGAGATCGCGTTCCCAAGACGGAGAGAGGATGAGGGAGCGGACCTTTGCCATGATCTCCTTGAACGTCATAAGGAGGGCGGCGTCGCGCTCCGAATCGATTTCGAGCCAGTCGGTGATGCGATAGTCCCGGAAACATCCAACGAGGATTGTGGCCTGCGCGGCGCGGTCGAGGGACTTGTACGATACGTAATTCTTGAAGGCAATTTCAAACTGGCGGAGGACGGCCTGGGTCGTCTCGCCCTCGTGGAGGACAGGCGGCTTAGTCGCGGTGGACTCGAGGATAGCGGCGGTGCCCGGCATGGTGGTACGGTAGGGAGTGGGAGTGAAAGTGAAAGACGAGTCTGAAGACGAGTCCGAATCCGAGTACGCAGGTGGCGTTGGTGACGGTGGTGCCGACGAGTGCGTGGGCGGCGCTGGTGGCGGTGATGCAGACGGTGAGGTTGGAAGCAGCACAGACGGTACGATGGGTGAAGGCTCCGCAGAGGGGAGCGGCGTGGGGAGGCCGGTGGTCTTAGATTGACCTCGGGTCTGGAGGGAATGCGGAACAGAGGGTTGTCTCGAGGCCAGTTTTGAGACGAGTAGTGAGCTGTGGCGAGCTCGTTGAGTACGGTACGTTACGGTGTAGCAGTGGGAGAGAGGGAGGCTGTGGTGGGCCGTCGTTGGTGTGCACGTCAGGTGTGACGTATGGTGCACGTTTTTTTTCACGCACGTGGAACTTGCTAGTTCTTCACGTGTGTGGTACAGTGATGAGCGCGTCGACGAACTGATGCTCGCCGCAACTCAGAGGACGGTGGGGAGGAAGGGAGAGAGGGGCGAGTGCGTGTACAAGCTCAATGGCGAGTCTCGCGCAAGGAAAGAGGAAGAAAAAATGGAAAGGAAGGATATCGTTAAAAAAATGGAAGCTCGCTCACCGAGCTCCACAAGACAGAGAGAAAGGACGAACGGAACCAGAGAGAAGAGGGAAGACAGAGAGAGACCAAGATAACGATAAGTCCCTTTTCTGGGGAGGTGTATTCGAGACGGCGTATACGACGTTACAGGAAGATGGTGGTAAGGATCAAGAAGAGGTGAGTGCACGTGTTTGGCACGAGCGTTGTAAGTACGTGATGTAAGCAGCATGATTACATGGGTTCGCCCACACATGTGATCCCTGGGGATGTAACACGAGCTTGTCGTATGGGCAGATGGATCCCTACCCCGGCGGAAAGGAACTCATCTGACACATTGTTGGGGTAGATCGCTGGGTCGGTACTATGGCGGGCTCTGAGATCTGAGGAGGTGAGGAGGTTGTGTCAGGTGTTGTTCATTTCAATGTCCTTGTTCATCGTGATTTTTCGTCTTGCCGAAGCTTTCTCAATGGGTCAATTACTACTTGATTTGTATGTGTTTTCCTAAGTCTTGGAGGAGGCTGAGCTCCATCCTGAGTCATTGCGTGGAAGTTGTATGTAGTGTAGAATGCGAGTATATGGGGAGAAGTGAGTATTTACAAAGAGAAAGAGCGAGGGCGTGAGATGGTCATGGGCGCAAGGAAAGGAAGATCAACAATCAGAGACCACAGCGCCAAACAAACTCGTTCTGTTTTTTTAGATAAGGTAATTATGCGCCGTTCCCCGTGAATCACGGAGCAAAAAAGTGACAAAAAGATGGCCCGAACTGGGAATTGAACCCAGGACCTCCTCGATGCTTGTGAAAGCCCTAACAAGGAATCATACTACTAGACCATCCGGGCTATAGAATACGATTTACTGTGGCTTTTCTGACCTAGCAATCCGATTAGGTGACCCACATGATAGGTATCCTATTTCTCTCAGTAGCCAACATTCTCAGCTGCTCCGACATCAGGAAACATGTTCTGGATATATAGGAGCCTACCATGTTTCTCTTCAATTCCTTGGACAAGTTCAATGTTCAACTTGAGTCCAGTCACAATTGCATATGTGTATACAGTACTCAGCTGGTAATTCCATTTCTAAGTGAGCGGCATTAGCTTGGTGGGTATTCAGGTGAGCAAAGGCGACTTGCAAACCAAACCTCAAAGTAGGAATTGTAACCAATAAAAGCGTTGCACCCCGCGTTGTAAATATTTTCGATTGCTTTATCTCAAGTGTCCGCTTGTCAAGGAAGGCATCCCGAGTCCCTGTCGGACTCCCAATCCCAAAAGGTATTTTCAAATTCATCGTATCGGAATTCACCGCTCGACAAGAAGCCGTGAATCTAACCACAGGCGAGCCCTTCAGCATCACCACGAATGTAACAGCGGAATATGTTCGTTTGTGTGGGTGATATCTCGAGAGCTGGAATACCCGCGGGGTGCGTACGAATGAAGCACGGTTTGCGCCTTCTGTTTATCCATACAAACCCGTAGCTCGCGGAAGGGTTCGTCCGTGAGAGTAGTTTGGAAGTTTCCTCGGCCATTGCCTGGTGAACCTCTTCCCGGGCGAGAACGGAATCCAGAAACCTGCAAGCGCACGGTAGGCTGCGCCGAGTACGTTCGTCCATGCGTTGAGTACCTCCTACATCCGCACCCGCCCCACCAACCACACACGCAGCGCATGCGCAAGCGAGGGCTGCGTTGCCCCGCGCACTCTATCCGTAGTCCCCACATCCGCATCTCTCGCACCGCCCGCCTCCCTTAAACTCGCAGTTCCCACCTCAGGCGGCATCGGCGACTCCGGATGCGGGGCGGAGAACGCCATCGTGATAAGCGACCAAACACGGTGGTGGGGTCATGATCGGCGGGGGAAGCGGGTGGTGGAAGTGGGAGACGCGTGCTGCGTCTTAGTGACTAAGCTTGCGACTCCGTTGCCGTTCACGGGGGTCGAGAGGGACGGGTGCGCCGAGGAAGAGCCGGAGGTGCTGGGACTAGGAGCGAGACCAGGGTCGGTGTCATACGGCCGCGGGGCGCCGGCGTGCGAGAGGGCGGTCGGGAGTATAGTCAGGTCAGAATACGAGGCGGGGGGTCCGCCCGATTTCGGAGCCGATGCAGACGAAGATGGCGTGCTAAGGAGGCCCCGACTCGCAAAGAACGCGTGCCCGAGGGTTCCGCCCACATTGCTGACACCAGGGAACGCCTGCAGCAGCGGCATCCGCGCGCGCTCGATGGCAGAAGGCGCGAGACGGTGTAGTGGCGGCAACTGTTGTTGAGTCTTGTACGCCAGCCCGCGCGCACTCGGCTGCACGTCCTTCGGCGGCCCCGCGCCCGGTGCCCACTCCGGCAGACAATCGTTTACCTCCTTTCCCCGTTTTCTCCGCGGCCGTGTCTGCACACCCCAGTTTGCGATATCTTTTGGAGAGACGCGCGAGACCTTCGAGTCCGTCGTGTCCAGCCTACGCACCGTCTCGACAGTGCGCCGTTGCATAAGATGTGTCGCGCCCCACACGCGCGAGCTGATTATAGGCATCGTGTTTTTTCCCCGTTGCGACGCGCGCAGATACAGCCTCAGCGCCTCCCGCAGCCGCCCCCGCTGGTCACCTGCCACCTTTACGCCCGCCTCCCGGCCGCGTGGCTCCGCGCCCTCAAACAAGCTATCCGCCATGCGCATCATGCGCCCCCGGCGCCCCTCGGGCGCCTTCTTGTTCCGCGCCTTCTTTTGCGGTTCGTTGTAAACGTACCCGTCTGCAGTCTCCATCAGGCGTTTGGCGTATATCATATGAGGTCGTGCGCGCCGGTCCCGGCGCGCTGGCGCAGCGATGGTTAGGTCCTCTTTGAGGAGCATGCGTAGCGCCCATTCACGCAGAGTACCATGCATGCTGTATCCGCGGTATGTCGAGCGTTGCACAGCGGAGGAGTGCAGCGAGCGAGTGCGGTTGCATTGAGCCCATTGCGGGAGAGGCCTGCATCGCAGCATCACAAAAGACGTGTATTGCGCGGGAGAAGCAAACGGAACTGAAGGACGAGGTACTTCAGTTCGGAAAAAATGTTTGCCTGCCGATCAGTACGACGGGATGTCAAGACTGGTGTTCCCTACAGTCAACTCACTGCTTCCAAGGTGGTAGTACAGTGATCCCTGCGGTGTACTTGAAGCACGGTATATAGTACTTCCAAAGATTGTGGTAAGTCGTGAGGTACTGTATCACGGTTGAGCCCGGCACAGTGCAACAGTAAGCAACAGCGCCGTCCAGCTGACAAAAAAGGCCATTTTTGCTTTTTCAGTGGCAATTTGAATCCCCAGTATCAAGATGTGCCGGGCTTCGCGGCAGTACATGCGGATTCTGTACTCATTACCCGTTCACTGAGTAAGACCACACTGCTTGTACAACCACTCAGTCACGTCATATACAATGGCCATATCTAGCTCAATAGTCGAGGGTAATGTGAATAATCTACAGTGGTGCGAAGAGGCTAGATATATAAAGGCCTCGCCAGTCAAATGATGCATGGAGAATCACAGAAAAAACATGAGCAATACACCAAACTCCATCCTCTTAATCCCAAGAAGGGGACGCCTGATAAGAGTGGCCTCGACTTGTTCCGTTCGTGGGTTGTTGAGCCGGGCTCGACGGCGACCAGGACGGCGACGTTGGACTGTAAGCAGGCGAGGCAGGAGCTGGGCAGCAGTGTTAGGTGGGGATAATTTAATGCAGAGCGAAACTCACAATACGCAGGCGCTAGTAATAGGCGCCAATCGTCAGCCGATCTGTATAGACAAACAATACAAAAAGAGACTTACAAGCCGGAGAGTATGTCGGTGAGGTCGGAGCTAAATAAATGCATGAGCCAAGGAAATGTTGAATAGAGCTAAACACGGACAGTATTTTGGAGAAGACGGCGAGGCCATCGGTGATGTTGGCGAATACTTCGGCGACGTCGGCGAAAGCTGCGCCGGCGCTGGAGGCAGATCAGTAAACGGGTCCGAGTGCGGTTAGATTTGACTCACAGGCTGTGGAAAGGGAAGAGCAGATAGGTCGGTTAGTGTAAGAAAGGTTATGGAAAAGAAAGACTTGCTTGGAGAATCTGTAAAACATTGAGTCAAGGGGGAGTGGGTAGCAAAGCGAAACAACTTACATCGCGGAGACGCCGGACTGAACGAAGGACTCGTTGGGGAATACCGCGGCGACGTGGGGCTGAACGACGGAGACTGCGGACTATACCGTGGCGACGTCGGGGAGAATGAAGGAGAGGTGGGGGAGTACCGTGGGCTCGCAGGTGAATATCCCGGCGACGGCAAAATCATCGGCGACGTGGGGGAGTACGTCGGCGAAGTCGGTCCACGGGCACCACGGTCGTAGAACGGCGACGTGGCATACGGTGACGTCCCGAAAGGCGATGTAGCGCCTCCGAAAGGCGACTGCGGTACATACCCCGGCGATGTGGGCGAGTACATATTGGGCGAGCTGGGGCTGTACTGAGGCCCTGCGGGCGACATGCCGCCGGCGCCAGTCGGGGTTTGACCCCATCCGGGCTGGAAGGCGAAATTCGGGCCGTCATCTCCACCATTGACCGCCAAAGGGGAAAACGACGCTTGATCTCCTCTGAAGACGCCGTCCTGCCATACCGGCGAGTTCGAGTCGTAAGGGGTCATCGCGACTTGCCCTGGAGTCATTCCGCCATCGGCCTGCGCTGCCAACATGGACTGGACGGGGAGTCGATGATCCACGATGGCGTCCTTGAGCATGTCAATGTCAAGCGCGACTTCAAAGGCGCCCGTCCCCATGGGCGCCATCTGCCCGAACATGACGTTCTCTGCGACACCGTGACAATCATCCTTCTCGCCCACCGCCGCTGCCTCCATTAGAATTTCGACCGTCTCCTCGAAAGAGCATCGCATCAAAGCTCCCGTGTCGGCGCGATTGATTCCGTGGCGAGTAATGGCCATGAGCGTCCCCCGATGCGTCATCAGGTCGCACAATAGCGCCAAATGCCTATAGTTGACGTAGGAACCATCGAACTCGATAACATTGCGAAGCTCTTTGAGAATCGCAGCGCGGGCAGCCTCGATGCCGAGGACGTTGAAGACCTCGACACAGCTGTTCGAATAAGTCCGTTTGTAGTCGACGCCGTCGATACACATCACCGTCTTCAGATTGACACCATCTGTCTCCAGCACCCATTCCTCGTTCTTGCGCATATTAATGCTGCCGTCCTCCTCGATCACGCGCTTGTCGTGCCGCAGGAGGAATACCCTCCGGATATCCTTGACGCCGCGCAAGCTGACCGAATTCAACATGGTGTTCTCCAGCTGACGAAGGAAGACATCCTCCTCAACCGAACCCAGCCCATCGTCGTCCTTGTCACCTCCTCCCAGCACTCGACACCGAATGATCAATTTGTCGGAGTTATCTTCGCTCCAGATGACGAAGAGATCCGTTTTGAAGCTCTCTGCGATGCGGCTGGCGACGTAGTGCATGGTGAGTTTCCCGACCATCTTCGAGCGATTGAGTTCCAGACGAAGCAACCAAGGAGACTGTAGATGAAGTTTGGATTCAACGTCCTCGTCTGGGATGGCGAAGAAGTCCTCAACAAATCCGACATCTTCTTCGATGAGCGTCGAACTGGGGTCAGGGTCATACCAGATCTCGACCGCCGAAGTTACCGTCCGCAGCGACGTATACTCGAGCTCGTGCGCCACGTTCTGCGCAAGCGTGGCATCAGTGTAGATGTCGGGGTTGAGATAGACGCTGAGCGACGGAGTTTTGATGTTTGTGGCGACGTTAATAATCTCTTTGAGACGTGGGACACCGAGCGTGACGTTCTTGCTCGACACACCGGCGTAATGGAAGGTGTTGAGA